ATTTGACCTTTTTGGACTCGACAACGTTTGTTCAATTAGGTGTATGTGTACATATAACATGTACACATGTTAAAGTATCAGTTTTAATCCAGCTTTGCTTATCATTAATAATAGCAATGCATACCTGACGAATCACAACCAACTGCTGTACCAAGGCTAAACACCATTTTAGGTGGACATGAAAATGGTTGATTCGTAGGATTTCTTAAAGTGAGAACAAATAGTCTTCCATCCTTTCAGTTTGGACAGAAACACCTTTAACTAAGTACCTCAAAGGTACATGTACTATTAATCCTAATCAATGCTATTAATTATAGAGTATACTCTATTGAATGCTTGAAGCATTTGATTTAAGCTTATACAATGGCACGAGTGCATGTTGTATTGTGGTTGGTTGGGATTCTTTAACATGGTCTTTGCAAAACATGATCAAATAATGTAAATATAAAATGTTTGTGCTTTACGGCATATTATACATGTAGTAGTATAGCAGACTTTTACTAATTAAGATTAAAGCAGCAATTCCCACTATGTTTTAGTTTTAACTATTATTGATGACTGTACCACTAAGCACATCATTCATCACTTATGAAATTGAACTCTTTCATTGGACATTCTAGTGACCATTCATGTACACTTGAAATTATGAAAAAGSCATATCCTTAAGTATTGTTTTTGTTTAATACTATTGTGCTTCAGCCATTTTAGTGTACAAATAATTTTCAAATCAAACATAGACTTGACTAAACATAAGAGTTCAACGGAGTAGTAATTTTATGACTTTGCAAAAAAGCAGTATGCAATGATCATGCTGTTCTGTGTCATGTCTGTGTCACCTTGGCTTTTCACGGTCATATGAAATACACTCTATCAACAGAATTACGCTGAGAGAAATAAAGATATAATAGGAAGGCATGGTGACTAGCATCTGAAATCCTCAAACAGGTCTTAGAAAATCCTTGTTATATCAATTTAGAATTCAATGGAGTTAATATCAACTTGAAAAGAAGGATCTTYCACGCCTGAGATTATGACTTACAATATGCCAGGTCCAAAACAACAACATTTCTAGCATGGAAATGATGCATGCAGGGATAAAAAATATCTAAAAACAATATAGCTGTAAGGAAACTATAATAGATAACTTTATTTGCATGACCTTATTGTTTATTTATTTATTATTTATTTAGTAAATCAAGAGATATAGCTCTCCGGCCATCCCTTCTTAAGAATATTAGTGATTTACCTTATTGATTTACAGGTATTGCTAAACTACATGTTTCAAAGGTTGTGAGTGCTGTACTTATGGATGTTGTGAACCAGTTGGCTAAATTTTGAACCAAACTTTAAATTGCAAACTTGACCATAAATGCCACTYATGGTACATTACTATATTCCAAGAAATCACTTTAATAGTTTGGTATTTTCTAAATTTTGCTTCAAAAATTGTTTAGTTTGCATACCACGCTTGTAGAGCCCTTGCTTCCTTATAGCTAAATCATTTTTCATTACTTTTATTATACTAAATTTATTTCAAATATGGCCTATTAAGTCCAAGCACTTGCAATAGTAGGCCACATAAGCATATAAAAACGGCCATGCCCATGGTTATAAAACAGCTAATTATCAATACAGCTACATTGATTTTTTTATTCGAAATCTTCAAAGCTCATTAAAAATGCTATAACATTTAAACCCATAATCCAAGCCTTTCAATGTTTACAAGATTTAACTTTTGAAAATGAAGGTTTGTCAAAAGAGAATATCTATCAAGTTATCCTAAGGATAAAAACACAATAATATTTCAATTCGAAAAATAATATCAATTTTTTCATATAAAACGAGTTGTGTTTTAAAAGGCAGAGTGCGAGAGAGCATCGGCGAAAAATCTTTTAATAACAAGAAAAATGAAAAAGATTCTAGTTACTTTTTTGGAAGTCACTAGTAAAGCAAGCATTAGTGATGGTATAAAAAATTGATCGACAAATAATGTAGACAATTCTTGAAAAGCTATTGTGATCAAGTCGTAACACGTAACTTCAGTAGTAGACAATCAAAAAAGATAAAATTTATTGAACAAAAACATGATAATTTTTCACGGCAGCTAATTTTGACTGAATGACTAACTTTTGAAGTGAGGAAAGCTCACCTTTTCTGGGTTGGTTCTTGCTCTGTAGACGTCGAATCGACGGATGTCTTCGACTCCTCACTTCGCGAAATTTCGCTCTCCTTTATTTCATCCTCTTCGTTCGCGACTTTAGCTCGCTTAGGACTTTTAGGTCCAAGTTCAAACTCCATTCCTGCGAGATTCAAACAGAAAAATAAAGTTTTTACAGGTTTTCCTTAACCTTGAACGGGTGTAAAGTCTGTGCATAATCGAAGACTTCATTAGAATACATAAAGATCGCTACCCCGAGATCGCCACGGCGAGTTTCCGCCGAGTGGTGACAGCTCCAGACGGGAATTACAGCCAAATACCACATACAGTCGGTATCCACAGCTCTTCTAGTCACCCAGACCGAAAGAAAAAGCTGCACGAAGCTAAAAGGACAACAAAAGCTTCCAATTTCAAAGGGAGTAATATCCTTCAACAAAATGTAAATGGCGCGAAGAGTCGCGCGAGGAGCACAGCTAACATGGCCGACGGCACCAGTGCGACTCGAGCTACAATTGCCACTCTAAACAGCAAAGAATGAACAGAAATTAATCACGTAGTCATTCAGATTTGAAGAATTACCTTAAGCAGCGCTGAATTATTTGGTTTTTGGCCCACAACTCTCCTAAAACGAGGACCAAACTCACAAGTCGTTCCGGTATCGAAGCGAGGCTTGTATAATTGCAGCGATCGGGGGAAAAGTTTATTTTGTCTGGTCGTGTGAGTCCTCTCTAGCCAAATCGTATCCCACAAGATTAAAGACTTTCTGTCATGCTTGATATATGAATCCAGTGCCTATGTAGACGAGAGTAGTTAAAGAAATATATCGACTACAAACGATTTTCTTTCATTCAGCCGGCCATGTGATTGCAACAAGGAAAACGACACAATAATGGCGGTTAATGTCTGCCATTGAAATACGAATATCCTTACGTTCAGCCTCTTGTTACGGTTATTTGTCCTTTCTTCGTGCTCACAGTTCTCTTGGGACTTTAAACCAAAGAATGGTGGTGAAGTTTAAAGATGGTTGCCTCTGTCAAATCGAAAACACTTTCCTGATTTTTTTAGTAAAAGGCACAGGGGCGGGAATGTGAAATCAAACGCCACTACCCTCTGATAGACGTGTGCATACAAAAGTCGCCTTTTCAAACAGCTCTATGCTGAAATAGACAAACTGTCAATCATAATTATTTTGGACCAATCAATAACCCCGTAGAGCTATCAGATATGCTGGTTGCCTTAGCAACCAGCTGCTTACTGTAAAGCAGATGACGTAATAACCTTTACATCCGGGTATGTGGTCAAACCGGTTTAACAGGTTTATGTGCAGGTGTTGTGGCTGCGTTAATGACATACATACTTCTCACGAGATAGTGTTTGCTGATTGGACGAATGTCACTCAATTAATTTCCAGTAGGCAATAAAAGCCATCACGACAATCAGTAATTTATAGGTAATTCTCCTGACGCGCACAAATACCCATATCGGCCTTTGCACCGTCTGGATTAGAATCCACCTAAGGTATCGGGCTCGTCTGATTGATTTGCAGGTGCATGCAGTATGCAATCACAACAAATACCGATATACCAACATGCTTGCACTAACTTCAGTCCACTTTACACATAGTTATCGTGAGTTCCCAAAAAGACCAAATAGTTGATGGTAGGGTGCACATTGTATTGCTAGGAAAAGTTCATATCCTTGAGCAGTGATTTACTAAGTCAGACGTGCACCCTTGGGAAAAGTGCAGGACATTATTATTTCAATGCGACTTTCAAATGTATATTTTGATACTGCCGTYAAAATGAATATGTTACCATGGATGTCCAATTAACAACGATTTTTGTTCATAATAGGTTGAATATTGATTTTATTGGAATTAAAGGCAGTCGTGTAAAAAAAAGACAACGACTTTCCCAGCGAGAGCAAGACATTCAAATCCGTAACAAAAAATTATCCCATRAAAAGTGCGTTCAAGCATGACTGATCATTTGGTGTAAGGGATCGAGATTGTTCATAGCTTGAAAAGCTCAAAGTAGGCAATTATGATATTAGACTAAGGGGAATGTTGGAGGCGATTCTGATTTCATTATGGTATTATCCTCCCCTATGACTAGAAAAACCTGACTTGTAAGGACGTTACATGGAATTCTTCAAACAAGCTGAAAATGTTTATTATTCTAGTGAATCCCTCATAAAAATGAATAAATAAATAAATAGAAATGAACGAGATTGTTTCTGCTCTAATAAAAGTCGATCCGCGACTACAGCGCGTGACATAGTGGAGTATGGTAAACTATGAGTGACAGATCCACCATAGCAGCTTCAAACGCAGCTGTCCTTTTAGATACTCATCTAAAAACAAATATTATCTATATTCAATATTTTGTCGCCTTTTGAATTTAGTGGGRAAAAACGGTGCATAATTCGTCTATTAATTTTCTTGAACATACCAAAATACCATTCATTCATTTTTACTGATTTTGCGTCAGATAGGGTAAGTGAACATGCGATGGTTTAATGTATTCAGAGATATCATAATCTCGCCCTTCAACGTGAGCTTTGAATTTTTCTAGCCTTTTTAATGATAATTAAGGCAGAAGGATGGACAGACTCATATATTTCCAGATGTTTAAAGCTCAGTACAATTAATACAAAATATTTGAAGTACTCCTGCTAGTGCCTTAAGCTTCGTGACCTACATTCTATAAAAAAAACATATTTCAGTATTCTGAATGTATAACTCAAAACATTTATAATCAACGTTGTTTTTCKACAATTGCTGCTGACAGCTCAACTTTTCCTTAATATAATCTTGACCTCATCAGCTGACAGCTGGGAAATAATGTTAAAGTACCATTTTTGGGCCAATCAGAATCAAGCATTATAATACCATTGTCARTTCATAAAGTGGATCTCATTGGTTGAGAATGTGAATCAGTATTAAAAAGGATAAGTGCATAAACATTGTACACAGGTGAACGCTTAAACAATAGCATAAAGAGGAATGGAGATAGTACAATAATGAGGCAATTTAAAGTCACGAAAATTGCATTTCTGTATACCAACAGTTACATATCAATATTGCCATCACCACCCTTAAATGTGATTGCCATTTTCCTTTAAATCCCATTTGGATTTCTCCCTTTTAGCAAAACGTACAGTTTTAATTTTTATTGACACATTAAAGTTTAACTTCAAAGAATTGACCGAAAGAACACATGCTTCGCGTCCGGCCAAACAATAGGCAGTAATTGATCGACGGTGTCGGCACAATCACCTCAAAGGCGACGAACAATTATTATGCTCTTATTGTTTGTAAAACTGTTGGGAAATGAAAACTTTGTCTACACGAAACTTGTCTATTCGACAAATGAGATGCACAGACTCTACCTTGATCTCTTTGTAAGGGCAATCCAGTCAGCTCAGTGCAATGTTTATATGCTATGTAATAAATATTATTAAATTCATTATACTTTCGTTCTGTCTTTATACTAGGTTATTCTCCTCTTTACCAGTCCTGATAACATATTAGCATCATAGACTTTATGATTGAATAAGTTTWATTAGAACATGGAACATGCTGGCATATACGTCAATATTATACGTCTCAGTTTCACCAGTAACATGCTCTTTGGAAATATCACATATTAGTATTTCTCTAGTATTTGTTTCAGTTTACTGTGCTTTTTAAAACTATATTCATTTCCTTTTGTGCCCTTTATTCAAAGTATTATATGAATGGAATCTCGAGTAATCTCCTATTTGCTTTTGTTAAATAAATGATCCGTGTTTATTTTTCTTTGTTGGTATTTTAACAACTGCATCTGCAGTCTCTTCTAATATACATGTATATCACATCASAAATATTTTAGCAAGATCACTCACAAACTTTCTTSCTTTGTCAATGATTGAGCWMCATCAGAGTATTTATTGGGGGAAGGGTGTTGAGGGTAAGAGAAAATWTTGACCAAGTGACGAAAAAAGACAAATAAGAATTGCAAAACATATAATGAATGTTTTTAAAAAGGAACATAAATATTATCACAAAGAAACCGATATTATGAGACAAAAACAATAAAAAGATTGCTCCCTGGCTAGTAGAGTCTTCAAAATACTTTTTATCATATAATTATCTATGAAATTCCTATATTTCTCCATTTCGTAAACTTGATATCTTCACTAGTGAAAATAACATGTTATTTTCACTAGTGAAAATATCACATTAGAGATTTCTCTATATAGTGGAAGTAAGAAAAAAGGTATTTTACGACATAATTTGCACTCATATGTAATTATATGATAAACAGAATATTACATGGTCGCTTGGAGATACGGATTTTATCTTCTCGTGTTGAAAATCTTTTTCAACACACTCGAAGATAAAATCCGTATCTCCGCGCGCCCATGTAATATCCTCTATTTGTCACAGGATAATATGCAAAGAATAATAGTCGCATAACTAGCTTAAAAAACT